GGTGGCTGCAGGCGGCTCCTCAGTGGAGCAGTGAAAAGTGGTGCTGGAGGAGAGTTGGAACCCTTTGTAGTCCCTGTCCCAGGAGCTTTTGGCTGGCTGGAGGCAGCTGGACCCGCAGCCAGAGCCCAGCTGGCCTGAGGGGGGGAAGGGGCAGGGCCGTGCCCGGGGCTGTGCGAGGCAGAGTTGGCAGCACAGTCCAGGGCTCCACGTCCCAGCTGGGCTCTGCTGACTCACCTTCCCGTGGGGAGGAAGCAGGTCCTTCCAGAACAGGGAGAGCAGGTGCCCTGGGAGCACCTCAGCCTTGGTGCTGGGGATCCCTCCCTGGGGGTGTGGGGGATGTGCCCCCCACCCTGGGGAGCCCCAGCACCCCCAGCCCTCTGGGGCTGTCGCTGGAGAGCAGCCAGGGCTGTTCCTCAGGTTCAGCTGCTGGCTGGGAGGTGTCAAAGGACCTGCAGTATCCAGATAAGACTTTTTCCCGTCCATCCTGGTGTCTTGTTCTGCCTTGTGCCTCCTTGAACACCTTCTGAGTGAATTCAGCTTCCCCCCCTTTCAGCGACCCTGACCACGCCCCTGGCCCCTCCCAGCCTGCCTGTCCCAGCCCTTGGGACTGGGGCTGCTGGCTGCATCCTGCTGCTCCTCAATCCCAGAGGGCCAGACCGGTGCCAGGAACCTGGCATGTCCTGGAGTGGGCAGTGCAGCCCCCCAGCACTGAACTGTGAGCCCTCGTCTGCCTCAGAGGCAGGAGAGACCCCTCTGTCCACGGGGGTCTGTGCTGCAGGTGCAGAACCAGAAGGACCTGCTGCTTCCTGCTGGTCGTGCGTGTCCCCGTGCCGGGCGAGCAGGGGTTCCCCAGGGGCTCTCAGCGCTGATGAGTCGTTTCTCCCCCTCCTCCTCCCTCTGCAGGCTGCAAAATCAAAGCCCTGCGTGCCAAGACCAACACATACATCAAGACGCCGGTGAGGGGCGAGGAGCCCGTGTTCATCGTCACCGGGAGGAAGGAGGACGTGGAGATGGCCAAGCGGGAGATCCTCTCGGCCGCCGAGCACTTCTCCATGATCCGGGCCACGCGCAACAAGGTGAACGGGCTGACGGGGGCCATGCAGGGCCCCCCCAACCTGCCGGGCCAGACCACCATCCAGGTGAGGGTCCCGTACCGCGTGGTGGGGCTGGTGGTGGGGCCCAAGGGGGCCACCATCAAGCGGATCCAGCAGCAGACGCACACCTACATCGTGACGCCCAGCCGGGACAAGGAGCCCGTGTTCGAGGTGACGGGCATGCCCGAGAACGTGGACCGCGCGCGGGAGGAGATCGAGGCGCACATCACCATGAGGACAGGCTCCTTCATCGACGTCAACGCCGACAACGACTTCCACTCCAACGGCACCGACGTCTGCCTCGACCTGCAGGGCAGCGCGGGCGGCCCCTGGGCCAAGGCCCCCCACCCCGCCCACCGCTCCTCGGCCGCCCTGCGCAACGACAGCCTGAGCTCGCTGGGCAGCGCCTCCACCGAGTCCTACTACAGCGGGCGGGTGGCGGCCGCCAGCCCCACCAGCCCCTACAGCACCTTCAGCGAGCCCCCGGCCCCGCTGGGCTCCGACGAGTGCGACTTCGGCTTTGACTTCCTGGCCCTCGACCTCACCACGCCCACCACCACCATCTGGTCGCCCTTCGAGCGCTCGGGCAACCCCCTGCAGGCCTTCAGCAGCTGCTCCTCCATCAACAGCTCGCAGAGACGCAACAGCGGCCCGGCCACGCCGCGCCACTCGCCCACCCTGCCCGAGGGCGGCGCGGGGCTGGAGCACCCCTGTGCCCGCCGCATCCCCAGCGACCCCGCCGGCGCCCTGGCCTGGCTGCCCGCCCAGGGCTCACTCTCCTCCTTCTCCAACAGCACCGGCTACTCCTCCTCTTCCTCGCTGCCCGGCAGCATCTCGGCCGCCTCGGGCTCGCCCACCGACTCCAGCAGCTCCGACGGGCACCGCAAGAGCTCCCGGGAGTGCATGGTGTGCCTGGAGAGCGAGGTGATGGCCGCCCTGGTGCCCTGCGGCCACAACCTCTTCTGTATGGACTGTGCCCTGCGCATCTGCGGCCGGGCACAGCCGCAGTGCCCCGCGTGCCACGCGCCCGCCACCCAAGCCATCCACATCTTCTCCTAGCCCGGGGGGCTGGCCGGGCAGCACCCCCACCCCTCCCTCCTCCACCCCAACACGGCGTTTTAAGGACTTTAAACTGTTGAAATCGAGCTTTTTATTTAATAACGGATCCGATGGGCGCACGGGGCGGGAGGGGGGAGAGGCTGCTGTGAGCTGGAGAGGCGCAGAGGGCACGGCGGGGCGGGGGGGGTTGGCCGAATCCGGGGGGTTGGGAGGGTTGGGGGCGAAGGGGCCGAAGATGAGGATTGAGGATGAGGAAGAGGGGGCGTGAATTCCGCGAGGAGGAAACTCCGATGTTTACAGAATAGCTTTAACTCTTCACCTGGCTGTGGGGCTGGGGAGGGAGCCCGGCTGTTCTCCACCAGTCCTTCCCAAATATACCAGTATTCCGTTTGCAAACTGAAATAACCAGAAAGAAAAGGTCCGGTTGCACTTTTTATTTTAGGACACGCAAGGGTTGTCTTTTATTTTTTTAAAATCATTCTATTATTATTATAATAATTTTTTTTTTGTGGTTCTTTTTGTATGTAGTTATTTTTTTGGATGATTCTCATTCTATAAAAATTGCTTTTTTTTTTTTTTTTTTTTTTTTTTTTTTTTTTTTTTTTTTTTTTTTTTTTCTTCTTTTAGTTTTATTTTTTTATTTTTTACCTCTTTATGTATATGTAGGGAATTTATAGGAAAATATGTACTTTATTGAATAAATTTTAAAAACTAAAATATATTTTATTTTAAAAAGAAAATAACGGACCTTTAACCTTACATGGCTAAAGTACTGATTATATATTTGCTGAGCTGACTTGACGGTTATGAAAATTGTATCAAGAGTTTTATTTTTTGACTTCAAAGCCTTCTTAATAAAGACTTTTTACTATATATGAATTCTTGTGCTACCCCAGTGTCTCCCTGTCTCTGGAGCCTCTTGGCACCCCATCAGCATCTCGGGACCAGCCTCCCTGCTCTGGGTTTGGGGGTTTTGCTGCACATCCCACTGCCACATCCCTCCCTGGCCATGTTGGGAAAGCGCTGCAGTGTAAGAAGGTTGTGGAGC